ACAGCTAAGATACTGCGCAGAACCCTCAAAATCCCAGGCCTCTGGTAGAGGACCCGAGATTAAGGAAGACAGACCACCCATAGGGGTGAGAGGGGAATTTTTTTATTTGAACATGAATTCTACTAGTGTACAAATTATCCAAGTTCCCTTTCAGATGTGAGATTTAAGGCTGAAAAGACTTGATTCAAATTTGTGGTCCAAGTCATTTTTAAAAATTTATTTTAATATTCTCTAAACCAAGAAAAAACAAGAATACAAGATAACAGCTCAGAACAATATATCTCAACATTCAGTCACAGGTTACATGTAACTTGTGATCCAAGATTTGAAGACAAGATTCAATTTAAACCAATCAGAGATGGGACTTGAAGATTTTAATGATAAGCTACAATGTGGAGGCATTCTTTGGCAGAATGGGATGGAAACAGTCAGGCTTTTAGAGGACATAAACCCTGTGAAATCTCAGCCAGAGGGCTCCAACATTTTTTTTTTTTTTAATTCCACCTGCACTCTTTTAAAGCAGAAATAGATGAGATGGGGAAAGGATAATAAGCGGAAATTGTCTTATTAAAGCTTAACAATAAAAATGTTCAAAAACTATTTAAAAAGTAAGCTCTTACTAAACCGGTCACCAGCTTTTCTGGGTAGTTTGTTACAATGGCACATTGACATGGAACGCGCAAACAATCCTTTGAGAAGTGTGTGTTATCGCTATGGTGTATATAATACCCCATGATATAAATAAAAATCTGTATTATACACAATAGTTTAACCACAAGCATAGTATGTGAAACCTACTCACAACATGTATACATTTCAGCCTCTTTCTCCCTTAAAGCAAACTGCCTAAACAAATTCTAGCAGAAGTGTGAGACATATTTAGCAGCGCAGTAATAACAAAAAGACACTTAAAATCCAGGCTTCTTCTCGTTCCTGCATTCCCTTTCTATCCCTGTGGGATATTGAGGACTGTCCCATACATTGTGGATTGCGGTCATGGAGGTTTTTAGAGGTGCTGCTGCTTGATTGCATCCATCAACAAAACCACCTGATTCTCTGGACAGAGCTTCTAGGGTTCAGAGGGCTGTAGGAGAAGAAATTGGTAGTCACAGGGTGTTTTTTTTGTTTGTTTGTTTTTTGAGCATTACAGTGTGGCAGTTGTGGTTAGTTTATGGAATGCTTAATGTCCTAGGACTCATCCTTGGACTTCAACTTTTGCCTTGTCTAAAATTTCAGATGGGATTACCATTTTGTAATTTTTCAACTTAAGTTTCTAAAACCTTTGGACATAAGGGTTACGTTTGAACATTCGTTTGTCCTCCAGATTTAATTATTTTTAAACTGAGGCTCTATGGCTGAACTTATATTATTCAAAGTTTACTGGAGATCAGAAAGCAAAAACAAAAAAGCAGACATGGAAGGAAAGTCAGGTCACCAAAGAAGAATACATATAAGGGAGTCCAGAACTATAAAGAGGTATCAGGAAAATTAAAGCTCACAATGAACTGAACTTAGTGAAGACTAACAAACGGCTTCTTTAGATAAATTTAGAATAAAAGGAAAAGAAAAGAGTCAGTATACCAGCTATTCCGTTTGAATGGCAAAATGCTGATGCATAATTCGCAATCGCTGCAAATAAGTAAGAGTCCAATTTTGGTTATCAATGTCCCATGGTATTTAGATCAACTGCTGCATCCTTGGAAATCACCTTACGGAAGTTCCTTCATTCCAAGTCAAATCACTATGACTTGTTTTGATCATTGTACAAAATACATAGCAGAAATAAGATGTCCTCAAATTCCCCTTGAAAAGGTTTTCTCACCAACTTAACAGAAACTTTGTTACCTGCTCCTGAGAAACTGTCCCATCTCTGCATTCTATGTTATAAGAAAAGAATCTATCCATCCAAAATTCATTACAGAGTAAAGCCTTTCATTAGTCTTTTTTTTCTTCATATTTGAGAGATCACATTCAGTAGCTGCTATATTCATATCCTTCTATCAAGACAGTAATCAAATGCAGCCTTAGATGTTAACGGTACTTGTTACTCTTTCTAAGTAGGAGTAGTCAAGGAAGTGCCATAGCTATGAGGAAAAGAAGAGTCGGGAAAAAAGAAAGAAATACTGTAACTAGCTTATTCAGGACATTTCTAATATTATCATTATGTAGATTTTTAAAAAAGTATTGGACATTAGCAGCTGTTCTTGAATGCAAAGTTCTGTTCCACAATATTTTAAGTAGATAATGTCTAAAATGAGTCATAAAAATATAATAAAAAATCCAATGCGCTCACATATACTCATTTAATAGGACAGTGGCATCAAATATTTAGGACTAAATATTTGCTGCTCCTTTTACTATAGATATCTATTTCTGTATCTGATATATAAAGAGGCGAGTGTGTCTCAACTTCAAGAAATTTGTCAATCCAATTGCTATGAAAGTTTGGTAAGGTCAACCATTTAAAAGCCTTCAACACTTCACAGAAACATCATTCTACACATCTTGTCTATGACATCATTTTCAGAAATATTATTTTGTCTGGACTCCTTTAAATGTTATGCTTTCACATGGAACAAAACAAAGCACTTATAAAACTAAAGGTTGGTTCAAATTGTATGGCAATTCCAAGTATTTTATTTTTGTTGTTATAAACCTTTTCCTTGTTTTCTGGAAATTTTGTTTGTAGTTAAGATAGAATGGTTTAATGCTCCCTCACCTTTTGTTTCAGAAGGTGTGTTGGAACTTGGGGAAGCTCCACTTCCCAGAGAGTTGGGTGGGGATTGAAAGAGTCATGCACATACTTTGCAAACTTCAGAAGAACACAACCAGGTAGCGCATAGTTGGTAACTTTATAACTAAGCAAACTTTATCCAAGGCCACGCTATACCAGCAGCAGTCCCAGCCAACTCTGCCTGCTTTCTCTTTAGTGAGGTATTCAGACCTATTGGTGTTTATAGCTGGAATAGGGCCCATTTTGCAGGGCCTTCGTTTTCCTCTGAAGCAGAGCACCATATATCAACTTTGGCTCTTCCCGTTTTCATTACAGCGCTAGCTCTTTGCCGCCTGTGGTTATAACATCAGCCTCTGCCACACTTCAAACTCTTTCTTGAGACTCAAAGGTCATCAAAAAGGGCCAGCATGGTTCTTAGAGGAAGTGCAAGCTATTAAGGTGTTAGAAATCTATGGAAGCCTTTTGGTGTTTGCTTTAACACTAACACACTTTGCTTAGATCTAAACAGAATTGGGTTCATCAGGTAAACACATGTACATGTGGGCACA